TACTTATTTTGAACGTGACCCAAAGTAAGGCATGGAATTTACATCAAAATTCAGAATACACATGATACTGAATACAAATTTAATAGTCTTATTGAGTATGATACCCACTATTTTATGATTTCATGACTTGCTGTTTAAAACACTGTTCTAAACGTTGCCAGTACAGACTTCCTTTCTTTTCCAACAAATTTTACAAGTTTCTCCCCATCAGTGCCTTCTCTCTTTTTTTTTTCTCACCTGGAAATACCTTTCCATTTTAATTTGAATTTTTTAAAAAATTATTTCCATAGTGTCTCATATTCTGATACCAATTTTTTTTTGTTTGTTTAAAGTGTTTTTTTTTTTCCCCCCCCCCAGAGGACATGTGCACTCCCCAGAGAGAGAGAGAGTGGGAAAGTGAGAAATCACGGGGTGGGGGGAGGGGAATCAGCCTCCTCCATTGTCCTCTTGGGATTTTGGGTATACATGCACATGCACTCAGCTGAGTCTGAGACTCCAACCACTGTCAGTCACATGAGAATCTAGTGTCTTAACCATCATGCCATCTGCTGACCACACACAGAGCTCATCACATTTTTTTTTCTTTTCACTAAATGATACATTATGATGATCCGTAATTGTCTTACATCACAGATAATTATGTTTCCTTGCCTAAATTGAATCTCTGAAGCAAGTAACCATCCTTCCCCCCACCCCCTTTTTCTCCTTTTTTTAACTTGATAGAAGGTGTGCACTCATGGGATGAGGGGGTGGAGAGTGAGAAAGTATCCCCTAGGGGGCATAGTTCCTTTTCCATTTCTCTCCTTTCAGGATTTAGGGCACATATACAAATACTCCTGACGTTTTTCAAGTAGCCGAGTCCAGAACTCAAACCACTCAGCCAGCCATGTGGGACCCACCTGCCTTACCCATCAGGCAGGCCCAACACCAACCATGTTCTGTGCTTTTGCTTTTGTACTCTGAAATATCTAGCATGAGTTAGGCACATCGCAGATGCTGAAAACAGCCCTGTGACCCCACACGAGTCAACCTCTTAGCTTTCATTTTTTCATCCCTGAAATAAAAGGGAAGTTTTAGATTATTCTAAAATGTTTTTCAGGTTTATAAGACTATTTTTAATGGCATATAATGACTTCTACAAAATGCACAAATGGAAGAAAAATATGAACCTTTTTTGTCAGCAAGTGTAAGAAAAGTCCTTGTGTGGGAAGAAAAAAAGGCTGCAACTGGCATTTTTGGTAGGCAGAATAAACTCCTCCATGTTATCTCTGAAAAGATGAAGAAATTACTGAAGTCTAAAAATAAAGTTGGGCCTTGTGGCACTTTTTTTCCCCCCAAGTTAAATGAATATATATGAAACAGAACTTCTGTGAACTCTTACTAAGTTGAATGGACTGCATAACTACACGAGGCCTAACAATGTATCTGGGGTGAGGTGTGTCAAGGCAGTTATCCTAATCCAGGGGAAAAATGCAATTTTGTTTTAGATATTATTTATTTGCAAGTAGTTTGTAAAAAAAAAAAATTACTGAAGACCTTCCCAATGGCTCCTGAGGCCAAAGAATGAGACTGACTGGGTCAACGACTTGCAACTCCACAGCGACCAGCATTCTCCTTCTTCTGATGCTAAGGCTACTGGTACAAAAGTAGAGTGGTAGTCAGTTCCTTTGGTGGTGGTGGTGGTGGTGACAGATCTCAAGACATTTTTTCCTAAATTCATTTTGGCAATCTATACAGGTGGTCTGTGCTAATGAAAGTCAATAGTTTGAGGAACCTAGCTGGAGGGGTTAGCAGGTGGTACGGTGGTTAAGGTGCTGGTCTCCCACATGGCTCACCAAGGTTAGAGTCCTTGTGTTGGAGAAGGGGAAACTGTAGTGGGCATCTACAGTCTTCATTTGCTCAATATCCGCAAGGTTAGAGTCCTTGTGTTGGAGAAGGGGAGACTGTAGTGGGCATCCACGGTCTTCATTTGCTCAATATCCATTCCCCTTTATTATAATAACACTTGAATTTTCCTTTGGAAAACCTCTTCCACTTAGTCCATGTCGTTTGGCTGTATATGGAGGATGGGAAAGCAAAGCTGTTTCCCTTGACCTTTCTCAGATATAGGAAAATGATTCCAGACTGGCCTTGTACATTCCTTCTCATGGTCACAATGGACAGTTCAGAGTTGAGCACAGGATCCAAGTGGGTCCAATGAGACTCATTACTTGGCTTGCTGGCTTGCTGATGGGATCAGTTGCTAAGGAAGTTGGATGTAAGCCTGGGACTGTAGGTCTTGCCTCTGCTCAGAGAAAATAGAGTCAATGCAATCAAAACACTGCCAAGATAGGGAGAAAAACTAAGTCTTCACACCCTGAGCATTTGGAAGGGGGAAAAAGGATTTTTAAAAGCTTGTTTGTTGTTTGGTTAGTTTTTTGTTTTTATATTTTTCAGCTCTACTTTGGGATTTATAAACATATGGCCCAATAAATTCCAACCCCTTCCAACATAAGTTTTACTTCTTCCTTTTTCTTTTCTTTACTCTTTCTTTTCTTTTCTTTTCTTTTCTTTCTTTCTTTCTTTCTTTCTCTCTCTCTCTCTCTCTCTCTCTCTCTCTCTCTCTCTCTCTCTCTCTCTCTCTCTCTCTCTCTCTCTCTCTCTCTCTCTCTCTCTCTCTCTCTCTCTCTCTCTCTCTCTCTCTCTCTCTCTCTCTCTCTCTCTCTCTCTCTCTCTCTCTCTCTCTCTCTCTCTCTCTCTCTCTCTCTCTCTCTCTCTCTCTCTCTCTCTCTCTCTCTCTCTCTCTCTCTCTCTCTCTCTCTCTCTCTCTCTCTCTCTCTCTCTCTCTCTCTCTCTCTCTCTCTCTCTCTCTCTCTCTCTCTCTCTCTCTCTCTCTCTCTCTCTCTCTCTCTCTCTCTCTCTCTCTCTCTCTCTCTCTCTCTCTCTCTCTCTCTCTCTCTCTCTCTCTCTCTCTCTCTTTCTTTCTTTCTTTCTTTCTTTCCTTTCTTTCTTTCTTTTTAGGCCAGAGGCACATGCTAGAGAGAGAACCCCTGTCAGGCTCCTGGGTAGGTGAGCACATTAGGTGAGCACATTCATGTATTCAGAGTGTTTTTTTCTTTCTTTCTTTTTTTTTTTTTTTTAAGAAAGATTTTTGCTATAGGGTGTGTGTGCTTGCTGGAAGACAGAGAGACCGAAAGCAGCGAGAACTCACCCCCCAGGGGAGATGGCCACGCTGCAGCCCCTTTTCCTCCCTTCTCTTTGGAATTTCGGGCACCTGGCCTGAGTTTTAAGCCACTGGGTCCGGACTCCATCCATGATCAACTGCATGGGAGTCCAGGGTCGTAACCATTCTGCCTTCTCCTGGTGCCAAGTGTTTTTCAAGCCACTGTCAGGGTGGGAATTCACACAGCTGTCTGCCATGTGGGATCCAGGCTCTACTAAATAGCACTTAACCAAATAGCAGTTAACCACTGTGCTAAGGGACCAAGCCTGCGGTAAGTCTTCCTGAGTTGGGTACCTGTCACATCCAACTATCCTGACTATCCAATAGTTTATCATAACTAGGATATCTTCACTCTGGCTCACTGCCAACCTCCTTTCTTATCTTAATGTTTGATCCAGACAGGACCAAATTTGCTTTTATAGAGCCCGAGGATTATTCTTCCTCTGGTAACAGGATTCGCTCCAAACTCTTGCATATTCTCTCCATGTCCCCTTCATCCACACATTCAACACAAATGTTTGTCACACAGCTGCAGGTGGCAGGGAGGAAACTGGGTTAGATGTTGAGGTCCAGTCTCAGGCCAGTGATACTGTGCTTTAGAAAATGCCAAGCTCCAACGGTGCAGGGCACAAGTGGCCAACACCTTGCTGAGGCCCCCAAGGGCCTGAGAAGCAGGGATTGGAGCCATGGGTAGAGAATTAAGCCTCTGGACAGTAAACCTCTTTGCCCAAGAAGCTGGTCCTGTGGTCTGTTCTTAGGGCCAATGGTAGTTGGAGACTGCGGTCCCTCAGAAATAATCACAAATATTGGCGATAGCTGGAAAAATAATGACTCTTGAAAGCAGCATTTCCCAGTAACTTCTGGAAAAATAATGACTCTTGAAAGCAGCATTACACAGTAACTTAGATCTCAAGATGTTTTTTCCTAAATTCATTTTGGCAATCTATACAGGCAGACTTTGCTAATGAAAGTCAATAGTTTGAGCAACCTAGCTGGAGGGACCAGCAGGTGGTGTGGTGGTTAAGGTGCTGGACTTCCACATGGCTCACCAAGGTTCAAGTCCTGAACCTGGCAGTTCACTTTCCCGCTTTGTCTCTCTCTCTCTCACCAGAGAGCACGCATGCCCTATAGCAAATTAAATTTAATAATAAATAAAATTAGATACATCTTAAAGACAAAAAAGAAAGAAAAGCACAGTTGGAGACCAGCCAGCCAGGATGCCCATTCGAAGAGAACATAGCACTGGGGGCTCCCAGCAAGTCTGTGTCCTGCACCAGTGGCAGCCTCAGGGGTCCCCGAGGGGCTTCAGCGGGTCTTAGGTATTTCGTCTCCTGCGCTAGAGAGGTTAGGGGCGCCAGGGAGGACGGAGGTGGGCAATGGGGGAGGCGGTTAGAGTCGGGGGTGAGGGTATTTCCGCGGCGCACAGTGGGGCTCAGGCCAATATCGCCGGAAAGCCTGTGCCCGTCCGAAGGTTTGCCAGACCCTGGGGCCTTCGCCCTGGCGGACGGACGACGGGACCTGAGGGGCGGGTGGTGGAGAGACCGGATGGGGAAGGGACAGCGCTGTGCTTGGGCGGCGGCTTCCCGGGATCTCTCCTTCAATACTCGTCCCCTCCCTCTTTATCACCCCTCCCCGTCCCCTTCATCTAAGGCCTAAACCGGGCCGGCGCCTTTAAGAGAGCGCATTGGTTACCCTGCGCATTGGTTCCCCTGGGGGCGGGACCCCCTCTGCGGCTCGCTCGGCGGCGGCGCTCGGCTGCGATGCTCCTCACTTCGCTCCAGCTCCCGCCACCGCCGCGCCCTCCTCGCCGCCGCCGCCGCCTCCTCGCTGCCTGGCAGCGTTGTTCTCTGCGGCGGAGGAGAGAAGTGCTATGTCAGGAAAGTTCCGGGAGGGACTGGCTGGGGCCATGCTCCCTGGGCTCTCCCGCTGGCGCCCGCGCGCTGCCCTTTGTATGAGGTGAGCCTGGGGTCCCGGTCCCCGGCCGGCGGGACAGGTAGCCCCGGGGCGGGGAGCGCTGTGGTCGCTGCGGAGGGCAGGGCGTGCGGTTTGGCGGGGTGCGTGGGGGGAGCGAGGCTGCTGTGACCGAAGTTGTGCCAGGGGAGCTGGGGGTTTGGGCTTCGGGAAGGTCTTTGCAGCTGGGCTGGAGTGATTTCAGCAGCCAGCCGGGCTCGCTGGGGACTCGGCGTTCCCGGTGCCGCCGGCCTCGCCTCCAACGCCGCCGGCCCGATCCCCTGCGCGGTACACGGCTAGGCCTTCTAGGAACCCGGCGGCTGCACGCCGCGCCCGGTGCCCGACTCGCCCCTGCCCGGCTGCTCTGGTCCAGAGGCTCGTGCCGGCTGGGTGTGCGAGGAAGGGATGGGGTCGTCTTGAACTTTCACTCGGTGGCCTGGACTCCGGAGGGCTGAAATCCCCCGCGTCCGCCCAGGTGGAAGGCTCCCGGAGAGCTCCGACAGTTCCGAGAGGTTCCCTCCTCAGTGCGCTGAGCTCGCGGCGCTGTGTCTGCTTCAGCCTTACTGGGCTTCCAGCGCCGCCCTGATTTTAGTTCTTCCCTTCCGCCCCCTGTGCAAGCATTCTTCTTTTTCACATTTTTTAAAGAAAAATATATCCTGGAGGTTCAGGGTGCTTAAACCCCAATAACGTGTCTTTATGAACATTTTACCCCCAGAGCTGGCCCAGAATTTCAAAGTAATCGATCGTTTAGTCTTTGATGAAATATTTAGACTCAGTCTCCACACTTAGGAAATACAGGTATCCCGGTAGTAGGATGCAGTCTCCCCCCCCCCCCACTCAGAGGCAGCTTGAACCTTAACCATATTTTTAAAAGTGGGATTTTCTGTTTATCTACGAATTTGTTTTTCATTATGTCTTAGATTAAGGTTCTAACTAGTTTTAGTGGAAGTATTTCTAAAAGTCATAAATAAAACCTGATGTTTCTTGTATAATCTAACATCACTTCAACAATTTTATGTATGGATGAGATATGAGTCCGTGCAATCATCTAATGAAACTTAACTATACAAGTACCTTTTTTACACGAATGGTTAAGTTTGTTCCCCGTGTTCAGTGAAAGAAGCCACGTTTTCTCACACATCCAAGTCTCTGCTGCCTCTTCTTTCCTGCTCTATTGTGTATATCTCAAGTCAGGGGCAAGTCAAAGGTGCTGATGAAAAGTCCCTATTTTTGTGAAGTGTTGCATAGCCAGAATTTTAGTGACATAATTGATTGCATCATCCAGACCTGTATGAACAATAAAAATAGAATGTGAGTGCTAATTTAAAGAAAAGACTGTCACAAAGTACTTAAATTCCCAGGTATACATGTTACCTGAGATAATTTTGTGTATGAAAAATATACTACCAAGAGAGACTAGACATCTTACTTGCAAGGGGGAAATTTTGAAAGAAAAACATTCCAGAATAACAATTAATATTGTAAAATTGTGCTTAGTATATAGGTTTTCATCTCTGAGCATAGTTCCATAGCTTTGCCGTCAAATATACCAGAACTCAAGCTTTTAAAAAGGAACTCAACATCGCAAGCATTTTCTGAAAGTTTGCGGCAAACTGAACATTCTTGGAGCAAAATTTGCTTAGAAAAGTCACACACTTAAAACCCTAATTGCTGTTACCATCTTACCATAAATTTGCTGGCCTGCAGGCAGCAAAGTAAGAATTTGGGGTTCTAAGGTAGATGTGCCTGGGATTGTATTAATTGATGTGGTACCTTGAGATTTTGTTTATGCTTTATTTGATTAGATCATTGCTTCGTGAATGATTCTTTTTGACCCTGTACAGTATATGTACACATGAGGGGTCTTCAAAAAGTTTATGAATATGCATGGATTTCAGAACAATTTTGTACCCAAATAAACTGGTACTTTAATTAAATTTTTCTATGAACTTTTAACATTCCCTGTGTGTTTGCATGTGTATATATACACACATGGATTTACATATGTATATATCTGTATCTCCTCTCTCTGTGTGTGTGTGTGTGTGTGTGTGTGTGTGTGTGTGTGTGTGTAAAAACTTATTTGGAGACTTGATAATACATGTGCACTAAGAATAGCAAGTCTAAAAGATCAGAAGCTCAATAAAGGTCTTGTTAGGACTTACCAGTTTTTCAGCATTTTAATCAGTGTCAGTTAAGTTTAAAAATACTGTATTTTCCAACTGTTTTTAATTCTTACAAGGCTTGAACCAGAGAGCTGTATGCAGGTAATCCTAACCACATATTTGTCTATTGACAAGGGCTGAATTCAGGACCAGTAGATGGCGTAATTGTTATGTTGCGGGACTCCCACGTAGCCGACCGTGGTTCTAGTCCCGGACTCGGCAATTTAAAACTCATGCCAGGTATATGTGCATATGTGTCCAAAATCTCAAGGAGAAAATGGAGAAGGGATTGCAATGTGGCCATTACCAGTTTGGGGATTTCTTGCTTTCTGTCTCTCTGTTTATCAGGTGAGAGAAGTGCCCTTTAGCAAAAATCTCTTAAAAAAAAAAAAAAGAAATGGATTGAAACCTGTATTTTCAGTTGAAACCTGTATTTGTGGTAAGATTCTGGTACTCACAGGTTGGTAATTGAACCATTTCTTAGTTTTCAGTATGTTATCTTCAGCCGACAGAGTTCTAGGTAAAATCTGACTGTTGGTATGTTGGTTTCTTTTTTAAAACTTCAAAAATGTGGGACCAGTAGTTGAGATAATGGCTATGTCGCTGGACTCCCATGTAGCCCACCGTGGTTTAAGTCCTGAACCTGGAGGCTTAAACTCATGCTGGGCATATGTACGTGCGTGCCCAAGATCTCGAGAGGACAGTAGAGGAGAGGGGATTGTGGCATGGCCATACCCCAGGGGTGATTTCTTGTTTCTGTCTCTTTATCTTTCTCTGTCTCTCTGGCGAGCATACGCACCCTATACCAAAAACCTCTCCAAAACAAAACAAACCCCCCAAAAAAAAACAAAACTTAAAAAATGGTCTTTCGGACATTCTTTATAGGTCTGAACATAAAAGATGTCAAGGGCATGAGTAGCAAATCTTGGTAAGATTCTGGTACTCCAATTTGTAAAATCATTTTCTAAGCATTTGATTTGTTGAAGGGGCCCATTAATACTTGAGAACTTAATACCTGTAATACAGTGCTGCAGTCACTACAAGGCAACTAACTACCTCATTTACCTTTGAAATATTTATCACATTTCACAGCTGAACTGTTCATTTTAGCATGTGTATGAAAATCCAAATTAAATAATCTCTTCAACTGATTTTTGCCTTAGTTTGCTAGGTATTTACCAGTGATTTGCTTATTTTTGGTACAAATGCCCTTTAGTTTGTTGTGTGTAGCAATTTTCCCCCTTTTATTGGAACTATGATGTGTATATTTAGGGTAAGTGCTTAGCACTTACTTGAAAACAGGAACAAGTTTCATGGAGTTCATATTATGTCTTTTTAGCTTTCAAAAAATAACATTTGAGATATTTTATTAGGAGCCTGCAGACCTGAGGGAATCTTGATTGTCTACAGTTTCAGTTTCGTGGGAATTTTCTGCTTAAGGTCAGATGTGCCCTTAATTTGAACTGGATGATCCACAAAATAGGGACCTTTGCAACCACAAAACATGGAGAGCATTCCAAATAATTTGCAGTGTGGGCAGCCCAACATGCTTTAGTGTTTAGTTGGCTTGAGGCAGTGTGCCATACTTGTAAAAAAAATGGTTTCTGAAGCTGACAGCAAGCTGTTTCAGTCTTTGAGTTTGACACATAGAGTAAAATGACTTTTAGCCTCTATGCCAGTAAATTTGGACAGTATTGGTAAAAGTAATTTATGTCAACTTCTGTTTATATGACAGTAAATTCAGAAAACTCAAGAATGAAGCTCTAACTTAATATACTGAAAAGGTCACTCATGTTCATTATAAATGTAATGAAGAGTTAGGGTTTTTGTTTGTTTGTTTGTTTTTAGGTTCTTGCAGTAGAGCATGTGTGCTTGCCAGAGAGAGACAAAGAGATGTAAAGTAAGAAATCACCCACTGAGAGGGGATGGCCATACTGCAGTCCCTTCTCCATTCTCCTCTTGGGATTTTGGGCACACACATGCACCCAGCATGATTTTCAGATGGCTGGGTCTAGGACTCAAACTGCAAAGTCAGCTCTGGGGGATCCAGCACTTCAACTTCCATGCCCCCTGCTGGCCCCAAGTTAGCCTGGGTTTTAATATAGCTCTCAGGTCTCAAACAAAAGACTGTACATTTGCAGTTAGGAAGGTACACCAGTGTTACCTACTGAAATTACTAATAGCATCATTATTATCGGCACTTCTTTTGAGTGATAATGCTAAAGAAATTATATCTACCCAAGCTGAATTCAGATTAAAAACATCCTCCTCCAGATACTGTACCAATCACCTGGCAAAAATACTGATTCTGAGATAATTTTCAGTTGAAACCTGTATTTGTCATCATAGTTATGTATATGTTTTGTATACCTTTTAGGGCTTTGACCAAAACTTATAGGTAACTTTTTTCTCTTAATTAACTGAGTTCAGTCTATATCATTAAAGCCTTTGAAAATGTTTTAGGTGAATTCTTTTATGTCGAAACTTCTAAGCATCTGCCTCAGGGAGGTTGGTACAAAAGGAGTATAATTCTTTTCTAGCTGTTACCTTCCAAAGGGAGACATCTTTACCTCCTACTTTTTAAATTATTTTTTTTAAAAAAAACAAATGGATAGGTGATTTTAGAGAAAGAACATTTGTAACCATTTAAAGGTGTCTGAAGTTTAAATCAGAATAAGGGTTTCAACGGAAAATAACCTAAGACTCAATTACACCCATGCCAGGTTTTTGGTATGGTGTCTGGCTGAGACGTCTGCTCTAAGACTTTTGCTTTAAGTTGGTCCTGGGAGGATGTAGATAAAAGGGAATTGGGTTGGAAAGAGACTGTATTAGGCAGCACCC